ACAGAGTACTTGCAATTTATGTATCTTCTCAGCCCTTTACGTAGCTTCATCGTACTGCTGGGCACTCCTCGTTTTATTAACAGACTAGTGGTGAACAAGCCTTTACTTACATTGTGGATCATACAGTTGTAGCGCCAAGCCATTTTTTCAAACACAAAGTCTTTGAATGTCCAGTCAAAATATTAGAGCGGGTCGGCAAAGCAACAGCAGCATATTTACAACTGGAGAACATCTAGAACTCAAGACAACTTTCAACCAACAACAAGGTCAAAATTTTCTACACAAACATAAAAAAAGTTCTACTGTACGGAGCGGAAATCTGGAGAACTACGAAAGTCATCATCCAGAAGATACAGGTGTTTATTAACAGTTGTCTACGCAAAATACTTCGGATCCACTAGCCAGACACTATCAGCAACAACCTTTTGTGAGAGAGAACAAAATAGATGTCAGCGGAGGAAGAAATCAAGAAGAAGCACTGGAAGTGGATAGGACACACATTGAGGAAAACACTCAACTGCATTACAGTGCAAGCCCTCACATGGAATCTTCAAAGCCAAAGAAAAAGATGAAGATCAAAGAACACATTACGCTGAGAAATGGAGACAGACATGAGAAGAATGAACAAAAATTGGACAGAACTGGAAAGGAAGGTCCAGAACAGAGTGGGTTTGAGAATGCTAGTCGGCGGCTTATGTGTAGTGACCCAATTTTATCAAGGGAACGCGACTGGTTTAATTGAAACAATTATTATTATAACCAATTGTATCAGCGGTTGTTTTGCCGCATATGTTTGTTTAACTGTGCTAAAATACATACAATCTCCCGTTGGTTGTGACCTTGCACGAATTCGGTTACTCTCAGTAACCCCACTTGTAACCTGGCACGATCTCGGTATTCTTTCGAAACCATGAGGTCTCCTACAAATACATCTCGACTACAGCCATCAACTGTCTTCTGATATTTGGCCTACAGGGGATCTTATCGGTTAACTGGCACTTATTCTTCCTGTAGTAATGATTACAGTCAACCACAACTCGAAGCCACACAACAACTGGTGAGCCAAATCTGGCCGAATCTTCCAAAGAAGCCAATTGCGATGCGTCTGTTACTTATCTATCCAAGTCTTCATATTGATATTTTTTCAATATATAATATTTCGGCAACAACTTATCGTTATCCGTCATAATGATAAGAATTGTATTGATATGATGAACTCCGATGTACGCGTACCGAATCTTTGGCGTCTTTCATTTGCGTGACGGAATATTCCGCGCTTTATTCGAGAAATTTTCCCAATTACCTATTCTTCTAACTGACCCAGCTGCTTGGTACGGAACACACTACCGCCTACTACCCAGCATCAAATAGTTTAGTTGAACGGTTTCATTGCCAACTTAAAAGTGCTCATCGAGCACACAAAAACAACATTTGGTACGAAACCTAACCGCTCGTCCTCTTAGGCATCAGAACGAGCTTGAAGGCAGATATACAATGTTCCGCCGCTGAACTTGTATACGGCGTCTGCCTGGGGAATATTTCACACCACAGAGCAGTAAAGATTTTGGTAAATCAGACTACGTCAATCGACTGTCCGAATTTATGTGAACACTGCCTCCGGTGTCAACTCGTATACAACATCGACAGGTCGCCCTCCCTCGAGAGTTATCTACCTGTTCACATGTTTTCATACGAGTAGATTCGGAACGCAAAACATTGCAACAGCCTTACGAAGGAATTTTTCACGTGATCTCTCGTCTTGAAGGGACCTTTAAGATTGATCGGCATGGCCATGTCGAGGTAGTCAGCATTGATCGTCTCAAAACAGCATGATAGTCCCCTAATTGATAACTTGAGACTCAATGTTAGGCCCATCAAACCTACTGGCGGGATCCCTACACCTACTTCGGGTCCCACTCTAGATACATCAGAGACCTCATTCTCACATCCCGGTCAACAGCACGTGTCATCTGCAGCCTCGCGTCCAGATCGGCAGAACACGCTGCCCTTGACTTTGGATGAGATTGCAGGCTCAAGAAGTACGAACGAGAATATCTTTTCACGTTCCAAACGCCGAGTACGCCTACCCATACGCTTTCGCGACTAACCGCATAATCAACAACAGATACGGCGTAGGACTATTCCTATACTACATGAATGCTACACCTTTTCTCCTTTTTCGATTTTTTTGTATCCTGAGCCCACACCCCCGACCATCGCCTGTTTGTTACCGTCGACTCCAGTCAACCTTGGCGAAAGCTGGCCTGATCACCCACGCTCTTGTCAACACACTCAGTCGAAATTCTGACCACCAATCTGTCTGGCATATGTCTGGTCTCGCAGTTGGTTGTTGTGGTCGCTTCTGCTTCCTTGGCTCAATGTGGTTCCGTCCTACGTCTGCGGCGTTTTCTAGTCCGCACCACTACGACTGCAGTCCTCAGATCCTGAATATAGACAACTCTGGTGTGGTACGCTAACTCGAACAACAAATACAGCACGCTTCTCTTGGTACCGTTCTGCGTAAAAGACCTTCAGTGGCAACTCGAGGATCCTGCTCTGCCAACCCTCTCGTCCTACAATCGCACGTTTGTCGATCAGTCTCACGAACAAAATCGCCACGTATCGAAAGTGTAAGCCCTTTCTGGTGTGGGGCTCCTGCAGTGACCTACTTTTATCTAGAGAACGTGACTGGTTTAATGTAAACAATTATTATTATAACCAATTGTACCAGTGATTGTTTCACCGTACTTGTTTGTTTAACTTTACCAAAGACACTCTTCCTTTTGTTGATTGTGACCTTGCACGCACTTACGTTTGTTCAGTGATTCCGCTTGTACTCTTTTGGCACGACCTCGGTATTCTTACTAAACCACTAGATCGCCAACAAATATATCTTGCTACAACCTCGAATCGCCTTCTCATATCTGACACGCAACCTTCTTGTAGTAGCGATCATAGTCAACCGTGACTCGACGCCACAATACATATGCTCCATTGGGAGTAACAGGCGTAATGTAAACGCAAAACTGTAAAAAATATTAGGAAGTATAATACCTACACAGAGTAAGGAGATGAATGAATGATTGAGCTATAATGTCTTGACGTTACATAGATGTTCGAGGCCAACTCTTAACTAATCGACACAAATCGTCACAGTTTTCATAAATTCGGTGCTGTTCTGCAGATGAATTTGAGAGCATGGCCTAAGCACTCGAGTTCATTTTTCTTTCTCCTTAAAAAGTTATTTTGATGGTAAAGGAAAGTGATAAGATTCTCTGGTTCATAGGCACTAACGTACTCAAAGAATCTAAAAATGATGTTTATTGACTAAACACAGTTGAAATGTACTGTTTTGTACATTTGAAATAAACAATGATCAAATAATATGTTTTTCTCACTAACCACAGAAAGTTCCGTATAGTGTAAACTATACGCAATATACGATGAATGTTTTCACCAAGGGTATTACTTCCGGCCTGTATACCAGACAAAATATTATCACGGAAAAAGGCTAAAAGCCTTCCGGTAAAACCAGATGTCTCTTAAGCTACAAACACAAAGGCTACTGGCATTTCCTTCATGAACTGGTAGTCACATTCATGGGTGAAGTCAAGTATTATAATGTCTACAAACTAGCGAGCTATATTCTCCTGATCCCGTATATAGAAGTAATAACACTGCGGCCGACCGTCCATACCACGCTGCATCTGTGTTCTGTTTCCCAGATAGATGATGTGTGCTGCAAAGGTTTATAATTTACCTATTGAGTCAATGTGGGACAAACTATAAAAAAAAACCTCGGCGTTATGACTGCTTAAGCATACAGCGAGGCATACCGCAGATATCCCCATAAACTTCATAATCAAAATCGATCACAAAATAGTCTGAAGCTCTCGACGGCAGTAAAGGACGAAGCACCTCTAGCTTGATCTTCTGCCAAATAACGTAACCATGGACCCCGCTTATGAACAGTGGGTAGTAAGTTATGGTTAAGAGTCATTGACCATCTGGTTATGGGGAACAATGCATCTACCATGTGAACACAAGCGAATGATTGGCTACCATAACCAGTAACCAGTATACTTAGTGAAACATACCCCCGAGTTTATGAGGACATCGTCGACCGCTGATGACGCATTTTCGTCCTGTATATATATTTATTGTATATCTCTCTCTCGTTGCGACGGCTACCTTATATAGTAAAATGACAAAAACTTATTTTCTTAAACTTTTAATTTTTGGTTAACTGTTCCCTATTTGTATATCCAGCTGCAGCAGTCATCTCTCGAAAAATATTCTTCGCCTCACTGTCCGATATAGACATGTGGAACGACATAACTGCAGTAATGAGATTTTTGAGATGCTGCCCATTTAAAGACAACAGTTCCTATTCGTCTGAAATCAGACTCCCCATTAGACGGTTAAAAATATGTTTTTAGTTAGTCTAAGGAGAAAGGAGACAATGGTGCACGAGAATACAATTTCACACCCACGAATATTTAGTTTCAAGAGATAATCCATCAACCTACGGACGATAACTCCAGTCGATTTATTGATGTCAGCTAAGTGCACAGATTTTCGATAATAAATACCATTTCGTCAAAGGTTCAATCAACTGTTGATAAGTCGCAAAAGAAAATAAATTCTTAACCCCCTTCTATGTTTACTGTAGTTTCTGTAGTGAGCTGTGGATAACTTCAAATGCTTCGAATGTCATCTCCGTAAAGATTACGCCCCTAAATTCAATACTTGTCCGCTGAGTGTACGGCCGGATGACTGAAAGTGCTGGATGCGGAATTAAAAACGGATAGATAACTTCATATGTATCAAACGCATAGATGTCCTAATAACAAGGTTTTCCTATTTACCCTTTCAAATGCGATCACTTTAGACTAACAACGCTTACTAATGCTTAAAACACGGATAAAGTTTAAAGAAGTAATTTTATCGTAGTAGCTTAACATTAAGACGTATTTTGAATGTTTTAGTTTGTTTTGTTGAGTTAATGGTTTTTGTCGTCGTGTCTCATCCATGGAAATATGAGTTGTAACGCATTCGAAATCTTACACTGATGATATTACTAACCGTTGTCTACTGTTTTCATTTACAAACCATATTTCCCAACTGAGTCGTTAGATAACTTTCCCTCTTGTTCTTTTTGCTGACAGACTTTCACACACACTGTTCTCTGTATCACACCAGAACACTACGTACGTTTATACGGAACTCAAATATGCCAAAGAACAATGGTTTAAATATGATTTTCAAGCTCTTGACGTTTTTATCAGTATCAACGCTTCTGAATAGTGAAGGTATGCAGCATACTAAAACATTTTCAAAGATTTTCCGTGCCATTGCAACATTATAAAGAACTATTGTGAAAGTGGGTGTTGTTGTGATAGTGACTGTAGTTTCCGGCAGTTTGGACTGTTTACAACTTGTGAAGAAACCTCTAGAAGGTATACAAATGTGGCAATATTGTCTAGCATATTTAGAGATTCCTTACAACTTTGCAAGGACTTGATTTCAGATGGTTTTGATCATCCACCATGCATTTATTCTATAAACAGTAGTTCTATTCACTAAATGCCATTTTTGGTTTAGAAAATGTCAATTACACATTGGAAAACGCCGTTAGACTGAAAAACATCCTAAGTTATTCAGATGATTTTGTTCTCTATTCGGTAAGCTAGAATAATTGCTTCAAGGTCTAAAAGTCCTGATCTCCAAATCCAGATAGGTGTTCCAACGCATATAAGCTATGGAGTCAACGAGGTTGGGCCACTGATCATTCCTCAACTAAGGCAAACCTCATGTGAAATGGTTTCTGTGAGTAAGTTGGTCAGTTATTTATTTACACTTTGTCTCAAATTCATATATGACATTTATTTCATTATGACTATAATCACAGTAGTCATATTGCCCAGATACTTATGTCTTGCTAGTGTATCCATCCGAAGGAAGTTGGTTCTATTTCGTGACTGACGCCGAACATATTTTTCTTTGTAAGTGTCATATTATCACTAGACGATACTAAGAAAAAATCGGATCTTCATGGAAGCATCCAACCTAAAGATTAACATGGGCCAATCAACCTATCACCTCCATTACTGAGGCTTGAAGATATATGTAATTACCTTATTGTAAGGATTTATGTCAGTCTAGGTTTTCTAGTACTTTGTGAAATGAGTATGCTTAGGGAATATGAGGTCAGAAAAATAAGTTGACATTGCTATTAAAACATTTGGCTTTAGACGAGTTCATCAAAGTAAACAAGGTGTTAACCAACACAGATGTAAGCAGAAATGCTTGATATATAGAGGGTTTTAAGTCCTTAAGATACTCTTGATGAATTCATCTTTAATAGTTGAGATCACGAGTCAATTAAAGCCAGACCACCATGGAAAACCTGGAAACACTGGACGGCTGTTTCGTCCTAGCATATGACTCCTCAAAAGTACGCATCCACGATTCCGTTCGTGCGATTTGAGCCCAGGACCTATCGGTCTTGCACTCGGAGATCTATGGCGTTTTGGTAAAAACGAAATCATCATTGCAACCATCCGATCCTCGTGCAGCAGCCTTCAGCGTTTGTCTAATCGGGAATCTACACGTAGAGATTCCGGAATGTTCTTCTAAACGGTAATTAGCTGGAGTGTTTTTGACTCTTTTGGAGCTTCTTAAAACTTCCTTAAGTTTTCTGGGAGCCGTTCTCACACTAACTATTATCTAAATGCCTATCATTGCTAGTTAATTAAAAAGAATTTCATTTTTAACGGATCACGATACAAAAGAATGAATATTTGTAGTAATTTAGCACAATTTTCATTTACACCTGGTAATCGAATTTTTCTGCAATGAAATAAAATGTTTAAACTCAATGATACTCTATAGTTAGTCACTTATACTGACCACTAAACAAAACTTTCAACATAAAAATAAATGCCATCCAAAACGTTTCATTCTCATTGATTATTATTTTGAAAGTACATATTCCCCCTTATTAAAAAAGTAAAACAAACTGATCCAAAATATTTTGTCACATTTTAATTATAGGCTTTGGCCAATCATTTGTAAGTTACTGTGAATGGAATGTGGTAGAAATTGAAACAACGAATAATTTTAGAATGAATAATGTTAAATGTAACCGCTTGGGTGACGTTTTTCTGATGGTTAGGAATTCAAAAATGCTAAAGAACATGAAATTAAATGAAATCAATCGTGAAGAGATTGTGCCAATTGTTATTTGTTACGAACAAAACACTAGCTTACCGATTTTATGTCCAACAACAACACCAAACATTATTATCAATAGCTCAAATGAAACTATTTGCTCAGGAGTACCAGTATCGGTAATAAATTTTTGCTTCCTGAATTCTATTTCTAGGATTTTTAAAAATTGTAGGCTACTTTATTCAAAAAAGAATTGTTTAATCTTTGTTTACCCAATTTAACCAAGCGAAAATCCAGAAATCAATGAGAGTTTGGAGTTTATATGTCATATACTTGAAAGTTAATATACTATTATTTTTTACACTCTATTCACGGTAAATAAATCCAGATTTAACGTGTCAAAAGTTTGATACCTAGTCGAACTACTGTGTTACAAAATGACTTCGGTTTTGAAACAAATGACAGACTCTATTTCGGCTTTATTGTATTGATGTAAATAGATCACATAGTTGAGGAAGAAATTCTGTTTATAGTGTGAATTAATGTGAATTTGGATGGTGTTTTTTGATAATCATTGAAAAAGCTTATTTGTACTGTTAATTGAAAAGTAGCACATGTTAAATTGATTAGATTGAGTAGGTGTAAGGTAGACAAAAATTTAAATTAGACAATGAAAATAAAAATAAAACTAATAATACAAGTTGAGAATGTTGAATGAATTGGAACAAATAATAGCGAGTTACATATAGGAGAAAACAGAATTATACTATAATCTCAAAGATACAAAACCTGGTACAACCGATTGGTTTTATACAAAGTACGATTGAACTCCATCAAATAACAAGATTTGGTAACGAAGATGGTCGTCACTCCTCAGTTACTAAGTGACTCGCTGGGTTGTCAAAGTGCCACGGCAAAAAGTTGCCATGTAGGGGCAAAAGATCTCTACCTTTATAAAGTACTGCACTTGTTTTATGTTTTTACCTAACCTAAAATTACAAGAGAAAAAGGATTGAATGGTTCCCACTGATCGTCCAAACAGTTCACTTAGGAGAATGCATCAAATTTTAAAGTAAATCAATTCTCACCTTATCACCTAATAGCCTATAATTTTCACCTTGTAAACTTAGTGTCAAAACACATATCGGTACGCTAGGACACATACCAATAAGTGGTTCTGTTAAATATGAGTAGAGCTAAGTATCTATTTATCCAACCAGATACAGACATAGTGTTCATAAAGCTTTAATAGCGGCTGCGAAAATTTTCTGGTAGTTCTTTAATCAGTTGACCTTAAATGCTCTAAAATCTAGCTTACATCTTTCCCTACACGAAACAATGAAATTCAATTGAATTTTGAGGCAATCATCAGTGTTCTTTTTCGAATTGTCGTGAGTAAAAAGTGAAAGCATTTACTACTTTTATTTCTAGTAAGTAGTTTTATAAATATAGTAACCTTTTTGCTGGTTCTCCTGAGTTATTAATTAACGTGGGGTCATTCTAATTTATACAGGATCATTTTTGGATATCCCTCAGTGTTTTCCCAGCCAAGCACACTTCGCTAAAATGTACTGATAAGTTTTAAGCAATATATCCTTGATAATGCAGTTAATTATGACTTAAAATACTTAGCGTATTAACAATGCTCGTCATGTCATTGCTATATATAGACTACTTACTTTGCATAACCAAAACACGTTATTGGAAGTTTGATAAAGTCCTTGAAGAAGAAACTTGTTGTTCAAAACGACTGCAGAAAAGTTCGTTACATGCCATGTTTCCTTGAAGCTGCATTTAGCTTCCTTCAGATTTTGTCTTTAGATCACTTTATGTGAAAAAAGATGCTGAGATTCTCAGTCCAAAGTTCAAGTCACATAACTGAACGGTGTATACAACCCTCGTATGTATATAAAATGAAGTGTTTTAGTGTATATCAAATATTTTTTTAGCTAGGTCTGTCATTAGAAAATCATTTTCATCACGTAATAACAACATTAGGGCAGTCAGTAAAGACACAAATGACACTGAAGATATGCTTTGTGCTGATCCGAGACTTTATAATGGTAACCACCAGCTATCCAATCATCGACTCAAACTAATATTATTTAGGTTTCACAGAATGCATCGCGCCGCCAAATTAGTGAGTTTGGGTTAGGTACTTGAAATTTTTCATATCCAGTCTACTCGCAATACAACGTGCGACAATCGTCCAGTGTTGTCGGAGATATTTACATCATTACTGATACAACCTTACAGATCACAGTTTCTTGCTGTAAACGCAATGGAGTCAACTCGTAATAACTAAATCATGTCACAATAATGACGCTAACCAAGTGATTGTTGAAGCTGAATGCTTACCTGTGGCAGTGAATTATGTTCATGATATTTCACGAAAGATTTTAAATTGTAAAAAGTTGACTATTAGTGTATTCTGATGGTTCAGTGTTACGTAACTTTTAATGACTACTCAGTTGACATCAGCCCATGGTGTAAAACAGTTTTAGACTAATATTATGGTGTATTATACTTACGTTGACAGACATAAGTGGTATGTAACACCAATGAGAAGTGGAACGCCTGCAGCAGATGATTGAATCGAAGAGGAGAGGAAAGGAAAGAGAGAGAAATTTTAATGACGACAAGGTTGAAAGAATCATAAGGCATGTAAAGGACGAGTGAAGGAGGATGTACAAATAATATATTTAATGTGTGGTTTTCATACTTTATGACGGTACTCTGTGATTTTGCACTAAAAAATAAAATCGTCTCACTCACCTGAGTTTTCGTTTACATCAATATCATTGAAACTATATCCATTCAGTATAAAGTATGGAATGCCATAAACTAATTAAATGGTGTTTTATTTACCTCTAAAGGTGTATTTGAAAATGACATATGAAGTAATTGGTACAATTAGCCAGTATGAAGTTCATGCTTTAATTGGTAGCGTAACTGGAACATTTACACAAAAATATGAAGTTGAATTTGTCCAGGTCAGTTACATGATTTGAAATAACAAATTAAACAATTCATTAAACTGTACTTAACTTTCTGATAAAAATATTTATTCCCCAATTAGAATTTAAATATCCCTGGGCCTAAAAAGAAAAGGAAACTATAATTAGTTGGGTAAATAGCTGATAGAAACCAATTCACGAGATTAATTAAATGATCAGGGTAATAGAGTTTATGATTTAAGGGTTTTTTTTATGAATAATGAACATCCGGTAACAATCAATGAAGAGAACTTAAATTAAATATCAGAATTTACCTCACTAATACCTCTTAAAAATGTAATAATAGACGACCGGTTTCTAACTTGTATGAAGTAATTTGCAAATATAAATGAAAATTCTGGATCAACGGTTTCTCAACACTTTTTTTCATAACATTTATGCAATTCTAAGAAAAAAACGATTCATTTCAAAGTAAAAACTTTTTTCTATTTTACAGCAATGATTTAAATAACTTTATTATTTCATAATTACTTGTAGACAAATGCATCCGACGCTTTACCAATGAGTGGAAATCCGGGTTATTTGATTGGTCGTCCAATAATAGGCGCTAAGATAAATGTAACTGATTTATCGTCGCTTGGATATTTAGGAAATACTGGTTCTGTCACCACTATATTGCCTACATCAAATATGAAGTTGTCTATCAAAGGTGTAAAGCAGCAACTAAGTAATGGAGTTTGGAATATTCTTGCTGGTGGTTCATGTGGGACAATTCTACAAGGAAGAGGTCATTTAGTAGAGCCTATTAGATTTGGTGAAGATGTTTACAGTGGATGTACATTAAGGTAAATTATAATCCGTACTTTATTTTTAGTCATTAGAATTAGTAATATAAATTTTTGAATAGTTAGCATAATGACATCTATCTTGTGAAACAAATGAATTATACCAAAACATTATGAAAGACGTAGAACGGGTGAACTCAAGCATCCTAAAATGTTAAGCATCGTATTCCATCATTTGTTTTCTTTTCTTTTCAGAACAATATTTTTTACTATGACTTCGCTCAAAGTGAATATAGGTAACTTTGGGAAGACATAAGTAGACTCAATAGGAAGCGTGTTGCTTCGTAAAACTATAATACTTACAATCCATTTGTATTAATATGCTATATAAATTACGCGAGGAGGGCTCTATATTCTGTTTTAATGAGTAGTTTATATCTACTTTTTCATCATTATACATCCAAGTTAGGACTGATTCATTTAATGATCTTGATGCAACAAGCAATTAAAATAAACAGTCTGAGGAGATGTGATTAGGTCAGCCAGACGCAACGTAGAACCTGGAACTTGCCTACATCAGTGCAAGTTGCCATACCCTATTAGCATAGCGAGACAAAATTTTCAGAGCTAATACCACATTACTAGAGATAATAACAGTAATAAAAAGATTATACATCAAGAATACGACCTGATAAGATATAAACCCAGTTAAATAACAAGAAAATTATAGGAAATTTAGTACTAAAGAGATCTACTAAGTGTTATCAAAGCCATGTAGTGATATACTGCTCAGATATGCAAATAAGTAAATCTTCTTTAAATCTGACTACTTATGCCAGAACTCTACAACTCAAAAATAAGGTTTCAGTTCAGGTCATAAATTTGTAATGTTCATAAAGACAATTATTAGTCATTTTTTAAAGATGAGTAGAATCACTTGTGTACAACGCATTTTAAAAATAGCTTTTAAAATGACTTAAAAAGTAAAGATCAATTATCAGGTAAATATGAACTCTACAAAGTTCTGTTGTGGCGTGTGCTACTTATATAGACATAAATAGTATATGATGTTAGTCATGAATAGAATGTCTGGCAGCAGACAGACAAGAGGATCGAACAGTAAAGAATGGAAACAGAATGTAGTTTCTATGAAAATACAAGGACAATGAAGTCTGAGTCATTTTGAGACAATTGAGGGACATTTTTCAAATTAAGCATTTACTATATGGTTGCTAGATTTTAATAACAAGTCCTGTAATTTTGTGTTAAGTACATTCGATTGTCCCCACCCGTGTTCTTGTTCATTACACTGTGAGCAACTTTTTAAAGTGGTGACGTAACAGTAAGCAGATCAGGATACACTGCACGGACCACAGTACTTTTATAAGCGCAGATGGTTGTATACAACGAAATCAGACAAGATGTATTAATTAATCACCATACAGATTTTCCATGTTTCTAGTTAGAACCAAAAGATATCACTGACCAGTCAAATATTAACAAGTTGATGAACAGTATTATTCCAGTTAGCTTTTTAGTATAGTGGTAAAAAAAATAACTAGAATATTGAGAAATCCTCAGAAACGATCGTACTCCAGAATACAATTCCACTCGAACATTGGCATTCTGAGCTGAAAATACTTCTCACCCATTAAATACACTTTAATTCTTTTGACCGAAATCTTTGGATGTTGTGTTGGTGTTCCTGATGATAGTAATGAGCTACTCAAACGTCGATATATGTAATGAAATGAAATGCAATGGAACCGGTGGTTAGAAATTAAATGTTCGGATTAATAATGTATGGGGTTAAAGTTGATGATGGATAAATTAGTGTATTAATTATACCCATATTTACATAAGCATTAAAAGAACTAGCCAATTGATTTATTACAAATGTATTGTATTTTCACCCCCAGCCTAACATTATTCTTTTAAAGTGAAAGACCACCTTATTTAATTACAATACGAATCATAACTTCAGAATCTTCTTTTTTAATTTTACACTTAGTTTATCATTTCTTGAACAATTTACAAGACCTGAAATGGATTGGACTACACGTTGTGTACAATATCAAAATATAATATGGGAGAATTTACTTAATCCCATTGGGATTACAAATGAAGAAGATCGTAAAGGTTTAGGCATAAATTTCATGTCAAACAAACCAGATTTATTAGCAATATGGCCAATATCTAAAATAAATCGTAGTTCTGAATGGGTTCCAATACAAAATTTAATTAATAATAATTTTCCAACTACACCAAGAGGCTTGAATGGGTTAGTGTTTGCAGTGTGAATATTCTTTATTCCATATACATTTTGCGTTTAAAGTTGATCCTTTCTTTTTTAAAAATTAATTTATCTATTTGTAGTTTAATAGTTGAATTCATGAGTGAAATGAAGCTAGACCACCATAGAAAACCTGGAAGCATTGTACAGCCGGTTCGTCCTATTATGGGACTCCTCAGCAGTGCGCGTCCACGATCTCACTCGCGGGATTCGAACCTAGGGCCTTCGGCCTCACACATGAACGCTTAACCGCTAGACCACCGAGCCGGCGTCCAATGGTATTAATGACTAACTTCAACTATTCCATGAAATTGCACCACCGTTCACTGTGTCTTCAGTGAGTGGATGCGAACCGTTGAGGAGTCTCATACTAGGACGAAACGGCCGTCCAGTGCTTCCAGGTTTTCAATGCTGGTCTAGCTTTAATTGACTCATGAATTCAACTATTAAATTACTACAATCTTCACAGAACCCCTTTCTGATAATTATCTACTTGTATTGAGTTATTTATGCAATGTAGAGTTTGTTTACAGTTAATGCATTTCAACAAACGGCATGAAAAAAATCAGTAACGACAATCAGATGACGTAATAAAATAAAACAAATGAGATAACTGAAAAGTACGAGAATGAGCAGATTGGAAAACACCAGGTTATCTTAAACTTACAGTGAACCAGAAATAATTACAGTTGGTTATGTGCTAATGATTACAAACCAAATCAGATAACATATTCCTTACTGATCTTTTATTATTATTATTATTATTATTATTATTATTATTATTATTATGAGAATCACACATGTAAGGTATACTTCATTGGCCGGTACTATGTCAAACCCCTTATAGGTTATTTTAACTTCTGGACAGACTATTCTATTAATTCTTCTCAAGCCACACTTATCTGCATGTTAACCCTGACTGTTTTTATATGATCGTATATGTGTTGATTACTTACCCTATTCATTATGTGCCTGTAACTAATTTTTGTTTAACTATAACTATCGGGTTACGCTTGGTCAAAATGGAGTTGGCTCACTCACCTCCGCTCTGATCCTTTTTGCTTGATATACGTATTTGAAATTCATTCTTGTATTTAACTTATTAAATTCCGTTATTCACTAACGCTAGTTAATTCAGTAATTATGTACGAGGGTTGGCGGGATGTATGATTTCGACAACAATCATCATACGATCCAACTGGAGTTAAACTAAGAGGCCGCTAAGATAATGGGCCCGTCGACAACATCATTGTCCGATCTAATTGGCGGAAAAACTAAGGGCCGCAATAGTTATGGATTTATTCTATTGAAAATACTACTTATACAAAATAGTTACAGATTGCAGAGATGATTACATTAGGAGTTACTGTTTCTTAACTTTTAATACGACTGATAAATTAACATAATTGACTAGTTCGTTTTACGAGCGCCCACGAAGATAATCAACAACTCATTGCTTTCACAGTGCTATTTATAAATACAGTGATCAATGTAGTCAAACTTAATCTCACTACTTACCAAGAAGTTTTATTCTTCGGATAAATGATCCAAATAAATCTGGTATTCACAAAATATAAACCCCATGTGGAGACGCTGAAAAATGCGGAGTCTCCCGATCATCTTAGGCAACAATGGAGGCATGCTTGGGATGAAATTCCCTTCCTCTAAATGAAAAATGCTGCAAAATGTTGATTGGCCTGCGTCAGAGCCTGAGTTAATCATAGGCAGTAGACTATTTGAGCGCATTATTCCCAAAAGATTTGGAAAAGAATTATTCACTAATGTCAAAAAAATTTGGATAATTTAATACAGCAACTACCGAATCTTTGTGTAGGACACTCAGGTTACTATTTGTTGTTTGGTTATTTATTCACATGGCTACGAAAATGAACTATGGAATACTCTATTCTTAATGGACAATTGTGTTTCAGTCTTCATTTAAAAAATTATAGTGTCTTTTCATAGTGAAATTTAATTGAAAGTAACCTACTCGCATATTTATAATACGGTTGTGTTGTGTGCTACTGATGTCTACAGATATAGGTAGTATATAGTGTCAAGTGAAAGTGAAATGTCTGGTAACAGAAAGTTAAGAAGATCGGGGAAAAAACAACGAGAACAAAGAATGATTGCTGTGGCAATGAAGAAACAGTGAAGTCTGAGACGACTGACTAATATTTTGCAAATGAGATATTTACTGTTTGGTTCTCAGATGTTCTGTAATGTCGTATACAAATATATTCGATTGTCCCCACTTGTGTTATTGTTCACTACACGGTTTCTTAGAAAAGTCTAAAAATTTGTTAAATATTTTGAGAATAGAAGATTGTTTTACGATCAATAACATTCAAAGCATTAGTTTATTGCTTTATAGTTTCTATAATAATACTGAATATCAGACTTAATCATTTGTTCAATTAACTAGTTCTGATAATATTTTGTTTCATAATTTTAATATATTATTACATTTTAGCTATTGTTATCAATTACTAATTGGACAAGAGATTGAAATACAATATGCACGTTTTGGTTCAATGATATTTCCACAAAATCAGATTATTGGTGCTAAGTGTAATTATATTTATGGTGATGTATTTTTCATGGTATGATTCTATTATAAATCGATATAGACGTGAATCATTTAAGTTTGTTTGGTGGAAAATATACCATAGATGATACTAGCAAAGTATATTGAAGATAATCAAACATAATAATAATAAATATGGCTCAATTAATTCATCCAACCTCCATTATAATTTAGTTAGGATTATGTACTAGAACTGTTTACAGGAACTAAGTTTAATATATTCCTTAAGTTCAAATTACTGCAAAGTATCTAAGGAGAAATAGATATAAAAAATATATGCAAACCACAACTTGGTTTTTAAATAGAAACATACAATAAGTCGTTCGTTTTAAATATTAAAAGGTCTCATAATAACGGTCTTCAGTGAAATTCTAGTTGTTATTTTTACTCATTTAATTAATTAATTTAAAACTATCTTTCGACTGCCTAAAACTCAATGACAACTTTAGGAATTTGAGTAAATGTTAGTTAAAACACTAAAAAGATGTAATTTTAAGTAAAATGGTTGTGTTTGAAAATGTAAAAATATTGAGAAGTAGTTTAACAATGTTATATCCCGATGAGAATAATGAATGGTTACTTTTGGGACCCGTTTATGGACCAGTACTATACGTATAATTGTCAAATGATTAAACTATTCATATTCGTGTTCCTGTTATCATAGGCTTTATTTTGATCTACGAGCTATTATTATATGATTTACCATTCTTGGGCTATGCCCTGTCTACCGATTACTATCTCCCTTATTCACAGCCACATTTGGCTAAATCCTGTACAAATGTTGTTTCATATTTTATGGTACGATATGGTCTGTCTAATTGGTATATAAACCCAGTATATTTGAAATAAATGATTCATATAGCAGAGGCTGAGATTGGTCTTCTGGGCCCAACAGGCAGAGCTAGGTGGGAAGCAAGACCGATAAGGACTCTAGATTGCTCGTACGGGTTTTATGCGTATATATATATCACTTACATTTCGATTTAATTTAGTGAATCTTTCACACTCATAAACATTATCATTTTAACACTATTTCAAACAGATGAATAAAGATAGGGTACAATGATAACAATCAAGACTTGTGTAGTACAGGACCATTTAAGATTAAGATGTCTTTGATAGTGTGGAAACTGTTGGCAATATAGACCTAAGACTCTAGTCTATGAACATCAAATCATGTTGTATGTTTAATCCACAGGTTCATATAATTAATTTTGGTCACTTTTTAATACAGCCTAATTCTTACTGAATATCACTCACTGATGAGTTATTGTGTAATTCGAGGGAACTAACTTTATAGATATAAAATGGTCCCAGGAGTTTAGCAGTTTTTCAGTCAATATCAGGCATAAGATAAAAACAATTTTCAATTAAGTAAACGATAGTTTTATTAAGTAAACAGCACTTGTCAGAATAATTTACCTGTTAAATTAATACTTTCTAGATTTACCTTGTATTTTCTTGCGAAAGGTGGTTTCTAATGAAATTTCGCTTTTTGGGTTAGGTAGTTTGAAAATACAAGCTTCTAAAGGGAACAATTGTAATTTCTTCATGAATATCTTTGTCAGCATGTTCGCCCTATAAGTATCAGTTATGTAAAACAGAGTAATTACCCAAATGCTTGAAACATTCTAAGGAAAGTGTAGTGCTGTAATCAATGATCACTGATAAACACTATTAAGTCCTATAATATCAACCTACTATGGATTGCCAGAAGAAAACAACAGAGGAAATACCTCGCAAAATTCTATAGCTCTACTAATTCCTGTTGTATACTGGGAGGAGATGATCAAACGAACAAATAATGGACACCATTAAAAGAAGCTAATCAGATACCCAAAGCCACCAATGAATGAGAACATGAATAAACCACTCACATCAAATAACCCAACCTTACCAATTTCATATTCCTGATCTACAGATCTTTTTCAGCAACTTGAAGTGTTATTTTCTTTGAAATTATTAAACACCGATTCTGTCACTATAATTTATACAATCACTTGATATTTTTGTTCGTAGGTACTAGTAAAACGTTATCTTTTCTACGTTTTAGAAACCTAATTTCAACATTGAAATAACACAACGAGTTCGATTCACCGACGTGACACCGCTGGCTGAGACTCGGGAAAAATTACGCCCCTATTTCCTTGTGCGATTGCCAAGTGACTTTTTCTATCCATTTGCATAATAAAAGCATTGTTTGGTTTGATTAAAACTCTTTTTTTAAAGGTATACTTCTGAATAAATCCAAAAATAAATATATTTTTATATAAATTTGAAGAACATTGGATATTTTTTTAATCAAACTGACTTCTTATAATAACCTCAAATATTCGATATTCTGTCTACGCTAGGTGATTCATTAAAAATAGGCAATAAAAACCAGAAACCAATGGATAGCTGTCTCGTTCTAGTATAGGACTTCTTGAAAGTGAGCGTCCATGACTCATTCACGGACTGAACCCATAGCTTTCAGGTCTTACGATGCGCATTCGAATTTAGACCACTGATCGGGCATTTAATGGTTCATATACACGATGTTTATCGATTTACAATATCGTTTAACCAGCTTATTTGTTTCGCTTCTATATTACAAAGTCCTTTACAAACAGTAAGTTTTCATTAAAATGAAAGAAACACTTCGTCGTTTTGTATAAGTGGATGTATACAAGTAACATCACTTTGACAAGCAGTTAATGCATATTTAGAGTGCAAATTTCACTTTACATAGACCTAATTTTGTGACTATAATAAATCAAGGTGATAATTAAGTTACAAAAACTATTCAGGTATTTGATGTAAAGACAATCATAATACTTTATATCACTGTTTACACTAAGGATCGAACATAAATTGCGAAATGAACACAGTTTGCAATTTAAACCATACAACTCAACATTCTGCAAAAACCCCTATATACTAATAAAATTAAACACACGGTATGATCAAGTTTTGAATTATTAGGGTACTACCAGTTCAATAAGCTAGTGATATATATATATATATATATATATATATATATATATATATATATATATATATTAGTCATAGTAACTTTGTTGCTTACTAACAAACCTTGCATTAGTACACTTGTAATACCTTTGCAACTTTGGTCATAGCTAATACATAGTAATTTACGTCCCTTGATCGTGTAAGCATTCAAGATATGGGGCAGAAGGTTATGATCTAAAGTATAAGTATTTTACTTTGTAGTCTTAACATAAACTATCAAACTTGTGGAGTGGACTCTATAACTTTAAATGATTGTGCTGAGTAGATTTTTCATAGTATAGGCTGAGTTAAACTAGATCACACAAGTAACGGACTAGTCGTAAGCACGACTGTTTGAGAAAGCATCGACTCTTAAAAAGGTATACATATACTGATTGGTCAATGAGTCGTGACCAGTACTACGCCTTTCTAGATTATAGTTCTGATTGAATTCTGTCAATGAATTCGGATTGTAGTCATCAGTCTATGCGATCGGTTATTGCGTGCACTATATTTTGGTGCTATGTGGTTGAATACTAACAGTGGGATGCTCTAGACCTAAGTTTCGTCTGCAGGATTTATCTATGTTTCATTAGTTTTAATAATTTATAAAGAGTTGTGATTTACTTAATTACGTTTGATAAGAGATACACTGTTAAAATGTATTATCTCTGTAATGTGAATCCTTCTTCAAAATATTTGACTTCTGAATAAAAGTTCAAAATCACCCACCTGAGTTATAAATCTTTTTTCCAATAACTCAGAAACTACTCATTGTCTATAATTGATCCATATTAGTAGCTTATATAGATCTCATTTATTTGAAAGTAGTGTAGGTCACAGACTAAAATCAACCAAACAAACTATGTAACTAATCCGTCTTATTTTTGGATTTCTTAATATTTTACAAGTTTAACTCTACCAGATCCAAGATCTGTAGGTTATAAAATAAACACAATACGATATAGGTGTCATTACCAAGGTTTGATTTGATAATTTCGAATAAATTGAGCATTGGGTTGATTGTTATAAATAAAAATAATATATCTGTAATATCCCAATGAGTAGAAAATTGGATTTTTTGACGTTTTGTGACTTAGTGTAAGTCACTTCTTCAGAGAATAAATAACCAAATTAAAATTAATCCAAGTTTAAATAGTACAACGGAACAATGCAAGAATAGTATTTGATCAATCAAAAACAGGTCTGAACAAGTTGATGTCATGTCATTTCTGTCAAGGTGATTCATAACTGATATGCATGTAAATTTGTGTGTGTATGTGTGCATTGTTTAAGAATGAAAACTTATGTGACCTTTATGGTAAGAAAGGATAGAGTTTAAATTTATAATATGATAGTGTGAAATTGTAAATACGATCAGACTGAATGGTTAGGATAGATAGTCCAAGTAGGATGTATGGTAAGGCCTTCTTTTCTATTGAGAGAAGTAGGATTAAGCATTATATGGAACGCCTCAGCTACCCTCCTTTGTTTGTAGTCGGAAAAGCCTTTTTGCAATATTTTGATATTTTTAAAATCGATTTGGTGGCTGTTGAAAATGGCATGAACTGCTATTGCCGATTTAATTTGAAGTTGGTTCAATTCTACAGGATTGTTAGGAGGTTTCTTTGTGTACCTAATATGTTCTTTGGCTCTAGTCACGATTTCGCGGGATGACCCTCCAATATAATAGGCATCACAATCTATACAACCTAATTTGTAGACGCAGTTCTGTGTGGACATGAACAGGATTTTGTCTTTCAGGCGAACTAAAGTATTACGTAGTGTGTCCGTTGTTTTGTAATATACTTTAATTCTGTGATGTTTTAAGATTCTTTGGATTTCTTCTGTTGTGCCATGACGGTATGGTAGAACTGCAGTACCAATCCATGGCATTTCATTCGAATCATTATTATAATGTAATAAGCTGTTTTGTTTTAATATGCTTCTAATAATTTTCATAGGAAAATTATTAAATTGGTAGATGCTGATTACATTCATTTGTTCTTTTCGTTTGTCTTCCTCTGATGTGATGATCTTGTTAGCTCTTCTAAAAAGATTTAGTGAATCAAAGTGCAATAATCAGAGATTTTTAAACTTCAGTTCATTTGTGATATAGTACAACCACCTCATAAATTTACCATTACACAACGTCGTGACGCTATGTTCTACGGTAAGTGCCATGTGATTCGAAAAAAGCTAGCTATCTGTGAATAACTCGTTCAACATTTGAGGTTTTCATATTAGTCAGTTTAGTAAATAATGAATAGAGGTTCAGACTAACAAAATTTGAATGATAAACGTGTTTGAAAACCCACTTTGTCTATTCCAATCTACTTATTATATACTCCCTAATATGACTGATAAAGTTTAATTACTTATAAGTAGCAGGCGTGACTGGCAACAATTATTTATAAAATTCAGGTGAAATCCATATAGTTTTTGATTACCACACATGAATGTTTATCCCTTTATGAAAATTAATCGGAACTCTTTAAAATCAAACGAGGAAACCGTTTAGCAAACAGAAATGAAATGAATTATCAAATTTTATCAATACAAAGCAAATCAAACACCTATGTTAATGAAGCCACATGTGGGTTAATAGTTATCGTTCGTAGATGTAATAAAACCACTGCTCGTATGCTTTAAAACCATAGAGTAAGTAATTTCGAGGTTAGACACAAAGTACTAGATAATGATGATAAATAAATTAACGAGGAAGTGAACTTTTATCGACTGAGATGGTTGGTATATATATTACGCATTCCCACCCACCGACTACGTCGATGCGCGATGATACCTAATGTAGTAGACCAGAAAACAGCTAAGAGTGGTCAAACCAGGACATGTCATCTGTTTATGAAGACACTGACTACTGGACTGAGCCATGTCAATAGATGGAGATTACCTGGTTGGGGTTCGTGTGATTTTTTAACCCATGGTTCGAAATCATTTACGGTGTCTCAGGTCCATTCACTATTTGTCATCCCTTAGATCTAAATACCCTAAAACATTTTTATTTCACCGATTTAAATTTCCTTTCGAATTGTGTTGTTTATGTGTAATTTTTTCTAATACCACTAATACTGTTACTACCCTGACAATTTTGTCCTAGTATGCAGATAGTTTGTGACAACTTGAATAGGTTTATACATGTGCCTGGTTTTATGTTGTATATAATCAACTAATTGACTGAGCCACATAAAGTCGTTATATCACTAAAGTATTATTTATTATTATTTAAACACATAAACATTGGTACAACGAGGCAACAAATAGATATGCACCACATAGATCATTCGATTTTTATGAAGGCTGGGATACTGCAGGGGTTGTTAGACCAAAGCAGGTGGTCTTCTTAGAGGGCCAAACCCCGAGCTTTTGACCTAAAGGTATGATCCACAAGGCAGTGGAGCAACGTCAGAAGATGCAGTCCCATGGTAGCCGGTGACCAAATATTGGTTCATACACCATTTGTTCTTTTAGGATACTGGAGTCCATTTCAACCGTTCGTTTGGAATCAGGGTTTTACAGCTCCTCTAGGTGAACTCTCCGTGTCCACCGATCCGTTTAAAGCGCCGGACATTTGCTTTTAGTCCTCTCAATTTCGTAAACAACACCGCTGCTGTGAGAAGGCAGCCAGTAGGACTTCCCTGGCAGTAGTTGTATGTAAGTGGCCATGTGAGAGCATCTCGAGAGGGAGCGCTGACTCTCCCCACTCTCGGCAGTACCAGGGCATTTAGGGGCATATCATTAAAGTGAATCAACATAAATATTATTTTACATGGACATAATTATTATAGAGCTTCACCATAAATATATCCTTTACTACCTCGTCTGTTTGAAAAGAAATATGTAAGTAACTGAAATAAACATCTGGACTCTAATGCAGGAAGTAAAAAATATGTGAAAAGTCTAAAATAGAAATAAAGTAAACGATATTGAAACACAACGAAAAATAAATTCAACTCTCGAAGTTGGATTAGTTTAAATTCGTATGAGTAATTAAAGAAAATACACAACGATTACAGCTGAAAGTACCTATGTCTATCTATGAAGGTAGCTAAATTTAAACGTATTTTTTTTATCGGCTGTTCTCTACTGAAGAGTACTTTATTTATAAAACCTGATTTGTCAACAAAATGTTTGACTATCTATGGAGAACCAAGAGTTCAACATATCTGTAAACCATTTTTTCACTATACTTCCATGAAAAGACATATATGGACTATAAGATTAATGGTGTCTTCACTCTAATTGTGATCACTGATTGGATGATGTCCAGG